TTTAGCTGGCCCCAGGCTCAGCTGCAGGCCCTGATTCCTGATGGTAACTAAGGAGGATGTTAAACAGCAGCTGCAAGTGATAAACAACTTCATAGCCAAGTGTTGGAAAAGAGCTGGCTGAGGAGATCTCTGGCCTGCTGGTGTTAATTTTTACTACATCTTGAAATACAGGCAACTGGAAAAGAGGTAATGTTATGCCTCTATTCACAAAGGGTGAGCAATGACCCAGATAACCACAGGCTATTTAGCCTGCATCAATCCTGCGTAAAATAATAGAAAAGTTAATATGGGCTTCAATGAGTAAAGAGTTAACAGATATTAGCACAGTTAATGCCAGCCACCCGGGTTTTATGGAGAATAGGTTTTATCAAACAAACTAATTCCATTCTTTGAGGAGACTCAACATTTTGATTGATAAAGTAACTGCCTAGATGTTCTATACTGAGGCTTTTGAGAGACATTAGACTGAGGACCACGCAACATTCTGATTACAAATTGCTACTCTACAATCTCCAGAAAGCTCTCAGTAAAGGGATTAAAATGTGGCTAACTGCCAAGCTGGTTTGTTTGGAGGACCAGGCAAATGCCAGGTACTAAGGGCTCTTTAACTTGGCAGAAAAGCAGAACAGACCTGTGGCTGGAAACTGAAGCCAAACAAAGTCAAATTCGGCACCCAGTGTTCAATGAGAATAATTAACTGCTGGCTCCAGCTCCCAAGGGTTAGGGCGGATTGCCTCTCTCAGGACATTTTCACATCAAGGCCGGAGCTTCCTGCTAGAGAGGCTTTGGTCAAACAGCAGTTATAGGGGACAATTCGGGGTGCAGCAGAGGAGGTAATTGACCTTTCTAGACTTAAGCTCTAGGTATCTCCCTTTAAGGCAGCAGGGTCGCTACCAACTGGGTCCCAAGTCACTATGGGTATTTGCTTCCTCATAACTCCCCATACGTTGTAGTCAGACAAATTCCAGCCTTTGGGGGCAGGATCATAGAATCATAGAACCATAGGACTGGAAGAGACCTTAGAAGGTCATCAAGTCCAGTCCCCTGCTCTGGGCAGGACCAATTCCAACTAAATCCACCCGGCCAGGGCTTTGTCAAGCCGAGACTTAAACACCTCTAAGGATGGAGACTCCACTACTTCCCTAGGGAACCCAGCCCAGTGCTTCACCACCCTCCTAGGGAAATAGTTTTTCCTAATATCCAACCTAGATCTCCCCCACCACAACTTGAGACCATTGCTCCTTATTCTGCCATCTGTCACTACTGAGAACAGCCTCTCTCCATCCTCTTTGGATCCCCCCTTCAGGAAGTTGAAGGCTGCTCTCAAATCCCCCCTCACTCTTTTCTGCAGACTAAACAGACCCAACTCTCTCAGCCTCTCCTCATAAGTCATATGCTCCAGCCCCCGAATCATTTTGGTTGCCCTCTGCTGGACCCTCTCCAATGCGTCCACATCCTTTTTGTAGTGGGGGGCCCAGCACTGGACACAATACTCCAGATGTGGCCTCACCAAAGCCGAATAAAGGGGAATAATGACATCTCTGGATCTGCTGGCAATGCTCCTCCTAATGCAACCTAATATGCCATTAGCCTTCTTGGCTACAAGGGCACACTGTTGACTCATATCCAGCTTCTCATCCACTGTAACCCCCAGGTCCTTGTCTGCAGAACTACTACTTAACTAGTTGGTCCCCAGCCTGTACCAATACTTGGGATTCTTCCGTCCCAAGGGCAGGACTCTGCACTTGTCCTTGTTGAACCTCATCAGATTTCTTGTGGCCCAATCCTCCACTTTGTCTAAATTGGATCTCCATAGGGACCATGTGTACATGTGATCAAATTGCATCAGTTCAAAACAAGATTCAGGGCTGCATCTAATACCAAAAATGTAGCAGCTGCAGGATTATGCATCATCCTCTTACCTCCATGACCAATCTATGAGGCATTCAAACTCCTGACCTGCTTCCTAGCAAAGTCATGTTTATGATTTCTAGGAAATCCCATTGCAACACAGCATGAGTTCATATCCTCTGTCATCTAATCATCCGCTCCATTGTTTCTCACTTGCAGCATCAAAATTGAACTGTGATCATCGGAGCGGTCAAACCGAGCCAGACCACGGGTCCATCCAGCCCGGTGTCTTGTCTGCCGACAGCGGCCAATACCCAAGAGGGAATGAACAGAACAGGGAATCATCCAGTGATCCCTCCCCGTTGCCCATTCCCAGCCTCTGGCCGACAGGCTTAGGGACTCCCAGAGCACGGGGCGTGAGTCATGGAATTACTTCTCAGCACTTCCCCCTGCCAACATTAGCAGTGTTTCTGTCTTGTTGGTTTAGCAGAATTTCTCCTGCCTAGCAGGATGCTGCACAGGACTTGCCTACACTGGCAGGATCCTCCTCTGTGGCGCCCACGCCCGGACAGCGTTCACACTGCAACACAACAAACGTTGCGAAAAACACCCAGGGTCAGCGACAAAAACCTTCCACCTCCACGAGGGGCTTTTGGCCCGCCCCTCCCCCTCCCGGACACCTGCAGAGTTGCGGGTTAGAAAGCATAAGGGGGCCAGAGGCGATGACACCGGGGGGCTCTCACCCACAGAAAAAAAATTAGCAGGTGTTCAGCACCCATTGGCCGTCATGCTTCTCCTCCCCCGCCCGCCAGTCAATTCCTCCCCCTGGCTCGCAGCACGGCCAGCTGTTTCACAGTGTACAGGTGGCTGGGGGCACAGGGGGAGGGGCCAGGAAGAGGCAGGGGTCAGGCAGGAAGAGGTGGGGCAGGGATGGGGGTTTGGGGAAGGGGGCAAGTGGGGCAGGGCCTGGGGCAGGGGAAGGGGGTGCAGGCAGGAAGAGGTGGGGCAGGGATGGGGGTTTGGGGAAGGGGTCAAGTGGGGCAGGGCCTGGGGCAGAGCAAGTGGTTGAGCCCCCCTCCCGGGCCTGGAGGAAGGCAGCACCTCTGACTGGGACACCCTGACACCCCAACCAAGTTCCAGAGCCGAGTTAAACCTGACAGAAGCGCCCGGGGCACGGGCCATGCCAGCGCTCCCGAGCTGGTGCGAGGGGGTTGCAGGAAGACCCCAGTAACACACTTTCGGGTGGGCTGGGGCAGGTCTTCGTGGACCACAAGCACAGTGGCTGCACTAGGAGCTTACAGCAGCCGCACTGGCTCTAAACATAAGCGCCAGTGTGGACGTGCCTCTGTGGGCGAGCAGTGCTGACTGTCCCTCCCCAGCAGCCTGCTACAGCCCCCGTGTCTCCCCACAGGAAGCTGAGCTCCATTCTCCAGTCTCATGCACGGACATTAAGGGCACGTGGGGCTCATCTGCAGCACGAGGGGTCGCCGTGTTTCAACGGGACTGGAAAGGCTCCTGGTGACTGACATGATGCCAGCTGCAATAGTGTTACCACCTCTTGGCATCCCCTCATGGCCTCATGGGACATTTCAAGAGTCGTGCCTCAGTGTCCCCCATCGCATCATGAACAGGTCCACCCCAGCCCTACTGGTGAGTCAGTGCTTCTCTTTATATCTAACAGCCCCCCTCCCCCCACACACACACGGACCTGATTTATTTATGAAAAATCCACAGAAAAGACACCGAAAGATCCTCATCCCTGCTTCCCAGCCCCTCAGCAGGCTTCGCCAGCCCCATATCTCCCCACTCCTCTAGCAAGACATTAAGTGATGCTCAGATTAGTTCTTTATTGACTTTGGGATGCACAACCCGCAGTTACACTGGCAGCTACACAGCGCGGGGTGTGCAGTGTACAACCCTGGGTCCTGGAATTCATCGTAAGTCATTAGTGGGTCAGTTACATCTCAAAAGCATCATTTTCATCTCATGACCCCCTGGCTAAAATCACTCACTTGTGGGTCGCCCCTCATGCCCCACAAGCCCCAACCTTCTCCCCACAAGGTGCTCTCACAGGTGCGGGGTGGAGCTGGTCAGCTGATGCAGACGAGGAAGGAATTCATTTGTCAGTAACATTACGCTCTGGATAACATCTCTGCCATGCGGACAGCCATGGCCAGAGGGGGATCTGCGCTGTGCTCTCCCCTCTGTCCTGCTCTTACATCCTGCCCCACAGTTCACCCTTCCTCCGCCCTCCGCTCAGAACAAGAGGGCAAGGAAGCAGCTCGGCAGGGCTGTGGACCTGCCATTTCAGAGGCTGGTTAATTCCATTCCTACCTCTGCCCTTCGTCCCAGGTGCTGTGCTGTGTGGGGATGGAGGGGCAGGGTCGACAGCCCTGGACCCAGGTTACAGGAGGATGCACCCACTCCCGTCCGTCTCCCTGACCCAGGAGATCACCAGTGGCTCAGCGTTCTTGCTGTCCATGGAGGCCCCAGGACAGAAGAGAGGCCGGAGGGGGCCAGCGAACTGGTCGGTGAATGTGTAAATATGGTCTCGGTCAGTCACATTGTAAAATGTGATTTCTCCAGCTTCGTAGTCCAGGAAAATCCCAACCCGCCTGGGTCTGACGCTCAGGCGAAGCGAGGTCAGGGGGGAGGTGAGAGCCTCGTATTTACCTTGGCTGTGCAAGCGCAGCACCCAGAAGCCATTGCTAGGGGACAGGACCACAGTCCCTTTCCTGCGGGCAGACTCCCTGCAAAGCCCCAGGCCCCACTCTGGCTTGTCTCCCACCTGCACTTCCCAGTAGCGCCTCCCCGCGGTGAAAGCCTGAAGCCCCAGGACCAGCGGGGAGGCGTTGAACCTCTTGTGGCTGTCAGACAGAGACAGGAGCAGGCTCTTGCCACCCCGCGCGGGATGAGCTGTCTTGGGATCCAGCGTCACTTCCACTGGAGGGAGAGCCAGGAAGAGACAGACATGCAGGTTAGGGGAGCAATGTCTCAGGCCAAGGGCAGAGACAGCCTGGCAGTAACCGGGGGTGCCCCAGGACAGCCGGCGCCGGGCCTGGGAGTGAACAGCGAGACGCTCGACTGTGACGTTTCTTAGCAACATGCGGGATGAGCTGTCTTGGGATCCAGCGTCACTTCCACTGGAGGGAGAGCCAGGAAGAGACAGACATGCAGGTTAGGGGAGCAATGTCTCAGGCCAAGGGCAGAGACAGCCTGGCAGTAACCGGGGGTGCCCCAGGACAGCCGGCGCCGGGCCTGGGAGTGAACAGCGAGACGCTCGACTGTGACGTTTCTTAGCAACATGGGATGAGGCACAACGTTACTTATCCTCCAGTGTGAATATGGAGCAATCCGGCTCCTCTGTCTGGAGGAAGCCCGGCTCTCTCCAGGGAGGGCAGGGGCCACGGGAGGTGCCGTTTAACCCAAGATGGCGCTGCATCGCTCTTGGCTCCACCCGGCAGTACTTGGCCCCATGCAGATCCTTGCTGGCCTAAAGGCAGGTTTGAATCCAACAGTTAAGCGGCTTGCCCAGGGCATCAGTAGGTGGGCTGGGACTAGACCGAGGGGAACAGCGATAATGCAGCTGGTTGCTGTCTACAAACATTCCAGATCGGAGGGTGACCGGACAATGTTCCCGCTAACTGGTTCCATCCATGTGTGGAATAAATTTTGTTCTATGCACAAAGGCACATGCAGCTGTTTAAAACTAATTTAAGTTAAACCGGTGCAACTTTCCTAGTGTAGCCGAGGCCTTGGTTCAAGTGGTGCCTGCCTGGGCCACATTGGCTGTAGTGTAAATGGAGTCAGACCTGGAATGTATTATTACTCATTCTTGTGCATGGTGCTGGGAAGCCTACAGGCCCCAGCCCTGGACAAGGACCCTCTGCACTAGGCCCTGTACACGTGCTCACCCCCCCGGCCAGCTCACAGTTCAGGGCAAAGTGCGTAGTCAGCTGCTCCCTTCACCTTTGAATTTCTTCAGCATGTCCCTCATGCCCAGGCAGTGCTCGGGGATGCTGTAATTCTCTCGCAGTGCCACGGAGCAAGCTTCGGGAGCCTGGACCGTCACCGCTTCACACCTGCACGGAGACATTCCAGCAGGTCAGCACAGGGCCCCAGGCCCCCTGCAAGGAGCCCGTTCCACTAAGAGATGTCTGTGTGCTGACAGACTCTGTGCCCATTTAGGGTTCGTTCCTGTGGAGAGCCTAGCCAGCCACCCTGAACCTTTGTGCTGCCAGCACAAAACAGGCTGCACAGCCATCCGGGAGACCAGCCCAGCATGAGGGGGAACTTGCCGACGCATGGAGCTGTCAGAACAGCCCCTATAGAATCATAGAACCATAGAGCTGGAAGAGACCTCAGAAGGTCAAGTCCAGCCCCCTGCTCTAGGCAGGACCAATCCCAATTAAATCAACCCGGCCAGGGCTTTGTCAAGCCGGGACTTAAACACCTCTAGGGATGGAGACTCCACTACTTCCCTAGGGAACCCATTCCAGTGCTTCCCCACCCTCCTAGGGAAATAGTTTTTCCTAATATCCAACCTGGACCTCTCCCACCACAACTTGAGCCCATTGCTCCTTGTTCTGCCACCTGCCCCCACTGAGAACAGCCTCTCTCCAGCCTCTTTGGAACCCCCTTCAGGAAGTGGAAGGCTGCTCCCCCACCCCGAGGCTGGCATGGTCAGAGCCTCAGTGCGCACTGATGATCCCCAGGCACAGTGACTGCCCTTCAGACCATCAGCATCCCCCTCTGAGGATGAGGATGGGGATGAGGGCTGGGGCCCATTGCTTTACTAACCGTGATGCAAGGCCACTGGCCATACGCTCACTGCACATTCCTAATCATGCCCCAGAGACCTGACTCCAAGAGCTTCCCAGTTGCAGGAGTCGCCACCTGCGTCCAGTCACAGCAGCCTGAAGGTCGCATGCAATTTACATCCATCTGACTGCTCACGGACTAGCTACCGGCCAAGAGTTACCTGCAGCCAGCGATCATTAGCCACTCCAGGCAGAGAAAGAGGTGAAATTATCCTAGTAATTAATTCACTAAGAAACATTCTCAGCTTGGATCACTGCTCATTTCTACAGGAACTCAGTCCAAAGCAACCATAAGCCAGGTGGGGAACCTCAGGCCCCAGGGCCAGATGTGGCCCCCAGCTTGACTGGATCCAGCTCCCGAGACTCAGGGCCTCCTCGCCAGCATTGGGGAGCCGGCACTGACTCTCCAGCCCCACCACTGCCCCATGATGAGGAATGTGGGGAGGGTCTTGCTCCTTCTCAGTAGGGGGCCATGTTAGTTTTTTTGGTTCTCTCACTTGTTTGCAGCCCCCGACTGATTTTTCTGTGGACCAGTGGCCCCCGACCCCACCCCTGCCATAAACGGTACATCGTCCCTCAAGTGCAGCCACCTCTGGGTGGGAGCTGGCAGCCAATCAGCACACAGCATGCTCCACTATAGGGCGTAGGACTTGGGCCCAGGGCGAGCATATTCCCTGCTCTGCATAAGCATGCCAGGAATTCCTTATGATCCATGCACAGCAGATGGGGCTCTCCTGGTTCAGTCCCATCTTTTGTGAGCTACGTGGGACTTGTCCTTGGCAGGAAACCAGGGCTCAGCCAGCCCTGGGGGCGGAGGGGGGGGGCCCTGTTTTCAGGGAGACGGGGAGCTGCTTAGCCCTGGGAGGTTGCCTTGCCTGTAACGAGGCGCAAAAGCGGACACGTACCTGCTCAGGGTGCTTTTCATGTCCTAAAAGGAGACAAGGAAAAATGTTACACACTTGAGCTGGTCAGAGTCACTTGCTTCTAATCCCCATGAGCGCAGGGAGGAAGGATGAGAGGCCCTGGTTTAGCACCTGGGAGACCGGAGTGCAATTCCCTCCTCTGCCAGAGGCTCTCCGTGTGACCTTGGGCAAGCCATGTAGCTTCTCTGGGCCTCAGTTTGTGCTCTGTGAAATGGGGCTAATAGGGCTTCCCTGAGGTGGGTGAGGGCTAAGCACTGAGGACCGGGAGGTGCTCAGTGGCTCTGGTAGTGGTCCAGAGAAGGACCTGTCCTAGAGACACTCTGCACAATTCACAGCTTGGAATTCCCCAGGGTCAGCTCTGAGTGAATGGCAGGTCTGTTCGGAGTCACTTCCCTCTCCCAGACCCAGAGCTACCTGCTACATCCACCCAGCGTCCTTCACCAGGACCTGCTGGCACAGGGCTGGGGTCACTGAGCTCCAGGCAAGTCCTGCCCCGCTCTGCTCAGGTCCTATTTGCTTTGAAAAGACGAAGGCCTGGATCACTACAGGTCCCGATCCGGCGCCTGGCACTGAGTTAACTTTGTGGGGCAGGAACAATGGCCCCAGCCCACCCAGCATGTTAGATATCACTTCTCCAGCCCCGGGATGGGCCCAGCTGAGCTAGTGGGGCAGGGAGCCACCAGAGAACAGAAGCAAACTCACACCTGCACCTTAGCTGCCACCACCACTGAGAGAGCCCAGCTTGGCTACGCCTTGGACCGAACGTCTCCAGCCCTAGCTGGCCGAAGGGGATGTGCCCAAGAGCCCTGCCAGGCCCAGATGCAGCCCTGTGCTTTCCTGACTGCAGGAGCTACTCCTTCCTAGGGGCACTTCCTGCCATCAAAGGGGGCAGCAAGCAGACAGGGCAGCAGGAGAGCAGGTCAGATGCGCCGAACATAACGCAATGCATCCTCCTAAGCCAGCGGTGGGCTGACAGGAGCATCCCCCTTTAGCAGGAGCTATGCTGCTCTGGAGAAAAACCCCACTGAGGCTCCTTGGGGGCAGAGTGACTCCGCACCCCTCTCCCAGGAGGGGCCAGTCCTCAGGCACAAGCTGGTGTCAGTAAGGCAGAGAATGGAAGGCAAAAGGAAGATTCAGACACTCCCAGAGTCCTGCCTCAGGGGATCTAGCTGACAGGAGCATCCCCCTTTAGCAGGAGCTATGCTGCTCTGGAGAAAAACCCCACTGAGGCTCCTTGGGGGCAGAGTGACTCCGCACCCCTCTCCCAGGAGGGGCCAGTCCTCAGGCACAAGCTGGTGTCAGTAAGGCAGAGAATGGAAGGCAAAAGGAAGATTCAGACACTCCCAGAGTCCTGCCTCAGGGGATCTAATCCTAACTCCTGGACTCCCGAGTCCTGCGATCCAGATCTCTTTACCTTCAAGAGCGTTTCTGCCACATGCTCACCTTGAGCAGCATGTCTGCTGACTGCTGGGACTTTTCCCTTATCTCCAGGATCAGCTTGTCCAGGGAGAATTTTTGCTCTAAAAGTCTAGTTAAGTTTTCGTGGAGTCTCTGCAGGATTATCTTCTCTTCCTGTTCCAACTTCTGCAGAAGCTGCTTTTCCTCCTCGGCCAGCAGCCGGTGCAGCTTCTCAAATTCAGTCACAATCCTCTCTCTCTTTTTCTTAACTACCTCCTTCCAAAAGAAAAATACACAGGCGCAAGAAGAGAGAAAGCATGGGTTAAAATCATAGCATTGACAGTGCCTTGGGAACCACTAGAGTAACTCAGAGGATATACAAAGTCACAGTGCATCTTGCACGGAAGCATTTACTTAACAAAACAACTAAAGAAAAAGCAATATGTTTCCACATAGCTTAAGCTCTGGCTTCATCTTCCTTGTGTACCCAGGGAAGAGACCCCATCTGGAACTGTCTGTAGCACAGTGACATCTAGTGACTGAATTATGTTCTGGAAGGAAACAACAACACACCTCTCAGAGGTACAAACTTTTAACGGAATATATATGTTCACCAACCAAGCCTACACTAATCAATCAGATTAGATCTCTTTGATAAAACACCAGCATTTGTTCTTGTTGTCTACTTTGCTTCAGTCATTACACAAAAAATAACATTTGCCCAGACAACTAGAGAAATTACCCTAGACAACAAAGGGGAAGGATGCAAATCGGGATAAGTAACCAATAAACATGTCAGAGAGCTTCTGAGGAAGCCGAACAGGTTCAGGTCAGTAGGGCCTGATGCTATTCTGCACGGGTACGGAAGGAAGGAGATGAAGAAATCTGAGTTGCTGGCAGTAATATTGGCAACCTTGTGGGTGACGGAAAGGTCCTGGAAGGCTGGAGAGAGGCTGAGGTAGGGTGCATCTTTAAAAGGGGCAGAAAGGAGGAGCTGGGGGACTACAGACCCGCCTGACCGCAGCACCTGGAAGCTACCCGACCAATGTATAAAACAAGCCGTTTGCAAATCCCTGGGGCTGCGGAGTGATCACTAGCAGGCAGCATGGACCCACTAGGACCGAATCCCGCCAACCCGGCTTGAGCTCCTGCTTTGTCAGGGTCACTGGTGTGGTGCAAGGGGGAACGAGGGGGACATCATGTGCGGTGGCAGCTGCCCCGCCGTCCTGTGCATGGGATGGCTCCCCATATTGGGCCCAGGGCAGCCTGGGAGATTGACTGGGGGGCCTGGGACCGGCTGTGGCCCCCCCGCACTCACTGCAGCAGAAGGCACATGGTGCCAAAGGCTGGCTGACTCCAGCCCTGCTCCTTCCACTCGAAGCCATGCCCCTTCCAATAGCATGCTTAGCAGCCCAGCAATTCTGTTGGCCTTCCTGGTTTAGTCTCTTCAGGTGCATCTACACAGCCCCCTAAACTCGAAATAAGACACGCAATTTGTGCTATGCCAATTGCGTATCTTATTTCGCTTGTATTTCGAAATAGCTTTTTTTTTTTCAAAATTTGCTGTATCGACACAGCGCCAAATTTTGAAATAACACGCTATTTCAAGACATCCTTTAACTCTCATGGAACGAGGGTCACTGGGGTGCTGAAATAGTGCGCCCGTTATTTTGAAAAATATTTAGAAATAACAGGTGCATTTAAAAGACGTAGGGTAGCTATTTCTGGATACCGGAGGTAACCCAAAATAACCCCATTGTCTAGATATTCCCTTAGGCTATGTGTGCACTGGCAGGTTGTTGTGCCAGAAGTATGCAAATGAGGCTAAACGTGGAATATCCGAGCCTCATTTGCATACCTAATGAGCCACCACTTTTTTCAGAAGAGGCTCTTGTGCAAGAAGGAGCGTCTACACTGCCCCTTGTCGCGCAACGCTGCTCTTCCTGAAAAGTAATAGGCGTAGCGGCGTCGCGCAAGAGGGGTTTTCTTGCGCAAGAAGGGGCAGTGTAGAGGCTCCTTCTTGCGCAAGAGCCTCTTCTAAAAAAATTGGTGGCTCATTAGGTATGCATATTACTCGCGCAAGAAGCCGCGAGTGTAGACATAGCCCTAATGTTTCATAACCACCATCCCCACATCTCTGCTGACACTGCAACCAAGGGACATGTTATCTCAAGGGCCACATGCTGTAAACAAGCACATTCATAGATTCGAAGGCCAGAAAGGACCCTTGTGACCACCCTTGTGGCCTCCTCTCTCACACAGGCCACAGAACTGCCCCACAATAACTCCTCCAGCTGAGCTTTGAGAAAACATCCCCTCTTCATGCCAGTGATGGAAACTCCACCGTAAATTATTCCAGTGATGAATTACCATCTCTTAAACAACTGGCTTTTTTCCCCATCTGCATTTGTCCAGCTTCACCTACCAGCCACTGGATCGTGTTTCTTTGACAAATGACAGAGCCCAATACCAAATATTGTTCCCTATAGGAGTGTTTATAAAATGTAACCAAGTTGCTCCTTAACTGGCTCTCTGTTAACCAAACAAGACTGACTGTATGAACAACCTGCCAGGTTATGGGGTGAAATTCTCTGGCTCCTCTTAGGCAGTAGGTTCAGGTTGGTGACAATAATGGTACCTAGAATCTATAAAAAAGCGAGAGCTTCAAAAGTGAGATTTCTTTGTCATTGCTGGTGCTCCTTGTTTCATCCTTTGCACCTGGCTCCTGCTCTGTATAGCCAGTAGATTGAGCTTTGCTCCTGTTTGTAGTCACTTGCACTTCCAGGCTTTCCCCAGGCAGTGGTTTGGTTTCAAACACAGAAGGGAAAATAGTCATTGGTGTGTTTCCAACCTTCATGACTTTGACCATTATTGCTGGCGTTATTCTTAAAGGCCAAGCTTAAAGAAGAGGGATGGTCCTTTACTGTTCTCCAGTTCCATTACTTTGGCTATGTCTACATGAGCAGATGTAAAGCCCTGTTGTGTGTCCACACTGTGCTCCTTGTGATGGTGGAGTGTGTCCCCATTAGCAGCTCTTGCAACGCCACAGAGCTATCCCACTGGCCACAGAGGGCTTTGGAAAGGGGCTGCAAAGCCACCTGGGGCGGGTAGCATCACATGATGCAGGTTTCCCAATCCCATTGCTCCATGGTCATCCTTATCCACAGAAGTCAGAAAAAGGGAGAGAGTGTGACA